TCTAGTCTTTCCCATTCTATTGTTTTCCTCTATTTCTTTGCACTGATCACTGAGGAAGGCTTTCTTATCTCTCCTTGCTATTCTTTGGAACTCTGCATTCAAATGGGTATATCTTTCCTTTTCTCCTTTGTCTTTAGCTTCTCTTCTTTTCTCAGCTATTTGTAAGGCCTCATCAGACACCATTTTGCCTTTTTTGTTGAAATGATCATATATTGAATATAGTGGGTTAAATAAAATACATTAACAGTATTTTCACTTGCTTTTTACTTTTTTAATGCAGCTACTGGAAATTTTTAAATTATATATGTGGTTTGAAATCTATTTCTGTTGGACAGCCTGTCCTACACCCATTTTCTGCTCAGTCTTTTCTGATTTTCCTAGACAGACATGAATTCTGCTTGCTCCACAGCTCTTTGAATTTCTCCTAGGATATTTGTGGAGGTCATTTGCTGATTATTTGTCTGCCAGAATCCTCTTTTGTAGGCATTACCTCAATTTCATTTTGTGGAATTAGTGGCCATGTCCAGCTACAGAAACCAGAGTTGTCCCAGTTAGCTTGGTAGATGGGCACAGAACCAAATCCCTCTAACTGGAAGCTCCCTCTGGACACTTTGTATCTTGAGCAATGCTGTAAACAAGTGGGGTAAGCTGGAGGGTGTATTTCCTATAGATGCTGCAGTGTGGCATATATACTAAACTCACTCTATCTTCTGTGTCACTTTTGCAGTGATTTCTGCTGCTTAGCACTCTGCAGCATCTAGGTTTTCCAAACTGACTGAAAATCAATTTATATGAATTCACTGATTCTCACCATTGACTCCCTGAGACCCTGACCTTTGTCCAATCACCTTCTTTTCCTTAAGATTTACAAAGGCTCTTTCTTTTGTTTGTGACCAAGAACTCTGAAACTGATTCCACGCTGTTGTTCTATTATGTATTACATTTATTTCTAGCAAATTCTAGCTATGGGGAAAGCCTCAGGATTGCAGGATAAACTGAAAAGTCAGGTTTTGAGGAGCATAGGAACCAGCCCCACAGATCTGCATGCCATAAATGATGGGTACCATCATTGACATAAGTGCACACGGATCATTTTTTAGTCTTTGGGTCATCACTTTGCTTATCCCAGGAATAGAGTGTAATGAATCACCTGAGGGTAGGGGTCTGTAGTAGACAGAATAATGGCCTCTCATGATGTTCACATCTTAATCCCTGAAACCTGTAAATGTTACCTTAAATGGTGACAGAGAATTTGCATATGTGATTAAATTAAGGGTCGAGCCCAGACATTATCTTGGGATTGCTTGGGTGGGACCCATGCAATCACAAGCGTTCTCAGAAGTGAAAAAACCTTCCCAGCTGGATCTGAGAGATGTGACTATGGAAGCAGGATTAGAAAGGTGTTACTGATTTTGAAGATTGCTTGTTTGTAAAAGGAAAGAAGGGGGTTATGCGCTGGGAATGCAAGCAATCTCTAAAAGCCAGAAAAAGCAGTGCAATTGATCTTCCTGAGAGTCTCCATAAAGGAACACTGCCCCTCTGACACCTTGGTTTTAGCTCAGTGAGATTTTTGACCAACAGAACTGTGTCATCTTAACTCTGTTTCTGTCGTTAACAACTTAGTTGTTCCTAAGTTGTGTCTAACTTTTCAACCCTATGGATGGTAGCCCGTCAGACTCCTTTGTCCATGGGATCTCCCAGATAAGAATACTGGAGTGGGTTGCCATTTCCTTTTCCAGATCTTCCTGACCCAGGTATCAAACTTGCATCTCCTGCATTGGCAGGCAGATTCTTTACCTCTGAGTCACCAGGGAAGCCCTCCAGGTTTGTGATAATTTGTTATGGCAGCAAATAGAAAACTGATACAATGCTCTATTCCTTGAGCTTGAGAGGACTTCACTTTGACTGACAGTCCAACTACGGCTGTATCCCTTGGAGAGTAGGAGCTAGGTTCCTAGATGAACGTAGTCAGTGAAGGAAAGCTAAACGGATAACACACAGAGGCACACTACAACCAACCACAACAGCCCCTTGCATATTATTTAATCATTGAAAGTGAAAGTGTTAGTTGCTCAGTCGTGTCCAACTCTTTGTGACCCCAAGGTCTGTCCATGGAATTCTACAGGCAAGAATACTGGAGTGGGTTGCCATTCCCTTTTCTAGGGGATCTTCCCAACTTGGAGATCAAACCCTAGTCTCCTATATTGCAGGCAGATTCTATACCATCTGAGCTACCAGGGAAGCCCTTATTTAATAAAAATCTACGCACTTGAATTTTTAGGGTGAGCAACTGATTAGGTTAAACATTCAGGATGAGAAGCCTTGAGGAAATAGAAGAGCGCTTTATAAGCAATGTAAATCCAAATTCACATATGCAACACTGCATATATAAATACTGCATCTTTAAAGAACTTTAAGAACTACTCTTTAATTCCAAATTTTGCCATAAAGATCCCCATGAAACTTGGAAAGGATGATTCCCTCTCAGTAATGATGTAGTTAATTTAGCCAGCTTCCCTAGTACCTAGACATATGGACCTCTTCTATAAAGTGTTTAAGAATCACTGGCTTAGTCACTGACTAATTAGCTGTTGATAAATCACAGACACTAATGGGAACATACTTGGAGGCAAATGAGATGGAAGTTATGGTTCACAGTCTAAGAAGGAAAAGTGTTACTAGGAGAACCAAAAAGAGCAATAAGGGAAGATACTGCGCCTGTTCTAAAACCCTGACTATGGCCACTGAAGGTGGGTAGGGAAACAGAGGCAAGAGTTGCAAGTCAAGACCAAGGACAAGCCAGAGCTGATGGTCAACACACACACAGCTTTTGAACACTTAGTTTGACCAGGTGGCAGTCTAACATCGGGCAATGAAAACATCATTTTGGAATCTATTAGAATATCACTTTGAAGGGGTTATTATTGTCAGCTCATGACTCAGGTTTTGACTCGTAAAAAAACCTCTCATAACTGCTGTTAAAGAGATGCATGCTCAGGTGGTAGTAACTTTTTGAAGGGGAATCTGTTCTGGTTGAAACCAGTTTTGACTGTGAGAGTTTGTGCGTGTCCCCATCTGTCTTTTGGAGTTGGGGTTTGGGAGGGGTGAGCCAGGGGGTTCTTTTATCAGATACTAAAGCTAGGCAGGTTCAAAAAGAGATGATTCTAGGAAAATTGTTCTCAATCCTGGCCACATGTTCAATCTGAGAAGCTTTAAAACAAAAATACTAATGTTCATATTCAGAACTCTAGAGGTGGGACCCTGGTATCTAGATACTTTAAAAATCTCCCAGATAATTTGAACATCTGGCCGATGCTACCGGGGTTAAGAATCATTGCTTTATGATTTCCTGGTAGAGGTCAACTTAAAATATATTCACAACCTAAAAGTTGAGAGTTACGTTTTATTTGGTGGGCATCTGGGGAGTTCAAGACCGGGAGACAGTATCTCAAGTGACTCTGAGACAACTGCTGAAAGAAGGTGAGAAGAAGAGGCAGGTTTTATAGAAGTTCTGCAACAAAGGGCAGCTAGTTGGAACATCAGAAGATTATTGTTAATTAAAGAAAGCAGATATCCCACGTTAAGGAAGTTTGTGCTTTTCTGTGAATGAGACAATGCAAGAGTCTCAGTTCGCTGAAATAATTTCTTCTACATCCATCTCAGCTATGGCGCCAGTCTTCTGTGTTTTCACATCCCAAGTTCCCTTGGGCTCACTGTATGGAGTATCCGAAGTCTGCTGGTATTCTTCCTGTGTTCCCTTAGAACACAGGCTCACGTTGGCAGGCTGCAACTGCTGATGACTATGACAGTCTTATTTACTGATATGGCAGGAAATACTCCATTTCTCATATGGTTAGTCTGTATGTCACTAGTTTTGTGGCATCTTCTCCGGTAGGTGTGGCTCAACAGTGCTTCTCAAACTTCCGTGTGCCAGAAGGCCACCTGTGTGCTGTTTAAAACTCAGATTTCCAGGCTCCATACTGAGAAAGTCCTAGAGGATCCCGCTTGGGGAGCACCCAAGAGCCTTCAGGTTTTCTCTGCTGCACACAGGTGGAGTGTCCCAACGCTCAACAAAGGAGCGCTGAGAGATAACAGCTGGAGGGAGATCAAGCCCACCTGGGGAGGGCTGGTGGAAGAAAAAGGACAAATTTGTGAGTATAGATCCCCCAAATACCTGTTTTCCCTTGGCCCCTGTATCCTGGGCAGTTTCGGCTAGGACTACGTGGGCAAGACCAGAGGAGACGTGAGCAAGACTAGGAGTGTGACGATGGGTGTGGTCGGCTCTGGGTTCCGGAAAATTCCTCCGGGCCGGAGGTGGGGGACGTTGCGGGGTGCGGAGGGCGGTCTCCCGGGGCCCTTCTCTCCGCCGCCGCTTCTCACCTCCTTTAAAAACATCGAGACCGCTCTGCTGGTCTGTCGGAGCCCAGTCCCGAAGGCGCGCCGGGAGCCTCCGGTGAGGAGCTGGGGAGGAGGGTGAGAGGGGGGCGCGAATTCTCTCTTCTTGTCCCTCAACGGCCCTGGGCCCGCGCCCAAGGACCCCGCGCCGGGCCCCGGAAACACCCGCCCTCCCCGGCTGGCGCCCGGGCCGCAGCCTTTTACCGGAGTGGGCTCGAGGCCGGCCCCGCACCTCTCCTCCCTGGAGCCTCCTTCCCCGGGCCGCCCCGGGCCGCTGGGTTCCGCCTCCCGGGCTCCGCTCCGTTGCTGGGCTCCCCTGAGGAGGGCAGTCTGGGGCGATGCGGGGCCTTTCTTTTTGTTCTTAGCTGTGTCACGCGCGTCGGCGTCCAGAGTCAAAAGCGAGCATCCCCGAAGTGGCGCTCGTGGCAGCGGTGCGGGCGTGATTGGCACGCGGGGAGGGCGGGCTGGCCGCGCTGCTCGTCTCTTTCCCCCTCCGCCCGGGCCGCCGCCGCGGTGCCCACGTTGGCAGCGGCCGCGTCCTGGCAGGTGAGCGTGACACCGGCTCCTCGGTCTGCGAGCTGCCCGAGCTCTTCCGAATCCCGTCTCAGGGATGCTCCGGGTTCCTTCTGTACCTGTATTTCCCAGCTTTGGCGGCGTGGAGGAGCCACAAAACTTCTGCTCTGCCGTAAAAATAATCTCCTGGGTTTACATACTCTTTATATGGCACACCCTACTTAGTATTTTTAATGATTGTCTTTTCGGTAAAACAAAATAGGCAAAATACCTGTTTCGATGAGTGTTCGTTTTAGCGGAATTTTAGAATCATTGTATTCGGCAAGTCTTGTGGATGCTTGAGATAGCCTGTTTCCAAATATGCAAAACCAAACTTGTGTGACTTTCACGGCTTTGAGATTTCCTTTGGCTGGTTTGTGGTCTCCAAGGTCCAATTGCCCTAATAATGCAAATATTGAGGGACATTACTAGGGGCAGAGTAAGATAGTCTAGTAGCCTGATTACATATTTAACAGCTTTACGGTGACTCTCTTTGGCTCCTGGCCACGAGACTGACTCATATTTAGGCAGTTTTAGTATTTCTGAATTTTTTTGTAGTATGGGGCCTCAGAAGTTGAATCCCTTGTTGGTACTTGTGGGTCTCCTAGTGCATCCATCCATAGCTTCTCCTCCCTATGTTAGAGAAGATTAAGGTAAGTGCAGGCTACTGTGAAGAATAAGTTTATTTGTAAATGGAAACCAGAAGCTTGCTAAGACTTGCGTTTTTTAGGTCAGAACTCAATTTTTAAGGTGTCAGTGGTGAAAAGACATTGAATTCTTAGGATGTTTAAAGAAAACAACACTTCAAGACATATTTTCTTCTCCTGTGAAGATATCACCTTTTCTCCCCATTGGTTTTGCTCAGAAGTGAAAGACCAAGGATGAGAGAGAGGAAGGAATGCTGGGGGTGAGGGGTGGAGGTCAGCATTTGGGAACATTGCTATTAGAAAATAAGGATGCCATTTGTTTTCCAATTGCTGGTCCAGTTATTGATGGGGGAATGAAAACATTTTGCATTTATATTGGTTTTTTCAGGGGTGGGGCTGAAACAGCAATGAGAATGGTTGACCGTGTCAGGCCCAGGGCCAGCTTCAGTCCATTTATATGGCCACTTTCCCCCAGCCAGGAGAGAACTGCTGACCCCATGAATGTTGCAGGCCTGCTTTCTGTATTTGAATGAAGCACAAAGGATAGCCAGGCAGAGCCTGGGGAAACTGCCTGTGTGGGAAGAGTTGGAAGGTGGGGTGTCGCTTTCCACTCACCATGCTGGGCAGGGGGTCGGATCCCATCACTGGCAGTGTAGTGAAAGGGAACATGAGGTAGTGTGGCCCTGCTTTTAGACAGTCCTGGAGTGGTCCGGGAGGGGCTGTGCGGGGAAGTGGGGACTGGAGGAGAGGCCCTATGCCTGGGGCTTTAATTCAGTTGCTTTCTGTAGGAAAAAAAAATAGTAAATTGCCTTAGGAAAAGGTTGATTTCTTTTTTAATGACTTAAGATGGGAAATAACATCTGTAACTGGTATAAGAAAAAAAAAATCACTTTTTTGTTTAAAAGAAAAAAGTGGTTAACATTATTTGCTAAAACTTCACAAAAGTAGAAGGAATGGTCTTGATATGCCCTTGTGCTTAGTCGCTCAGTCTTGTCTGACTCTCTGTAGCCCGCCAGGCTCCTCTGTCCACTCCAGGAACGCTGCCGAGGGTTGTCGTATTCTCCTCCAGGGGATCTCCTGACAGGTAGATTCTTTGCCTGCCTCGCCATGGGGGCTTTCACCTTAACAAAGTGTGAATGGCGTCTCACTTGCTCCCCCAAGGTGGTCTTAGAGTGTGGCAGCTTTCTAGACTTTTTCAAGTTACTGATGAAATTACATTGAAAGAGAGACTTGGCTTGAAGTTTAAGGATTATTTCCAAAATTCCCAGAAAGCCTATTTTGCTTCACAAAGAAATGTCCCCCACTTTCAGGAAAGAAAATGCACGCCTTCTCAGATTTTTACATTGTGATCTTATTCTCTTTCAAGACTGCATTAATAAAACTTCCTCTCACTAAGATTTTGATGATTAACTAGTGCCTGACAGGAAGAACACATATGTAAAATTACTGTATAATGAAATAGTTTGCTGTGGTTTCCAGTCTTTTTTGCTCATTCTTGTTAGTAAAACAAAATTTTAACATCTAAAACTAGTACACCATAATGTCAATTGTATCTCAATCAAGACCAGTTTTTAGCACTCCTCTGTGTGTTTGTTACTTAATTATAAATTAATCTACATGTGCTACTGTTGTAGCTCAAGATCCAGTCTACACTTAGGGCTGGGTTCATTGTTCATTGTGGAGGTAAAACCCTCTTTCAAATACTCCTTGAATTTTGAGTTTTTTTGGCCTGGATCTTGTTAGGTCTTGTTAGGTCTGAGTACATCATCGTTGTTTTTACTTGGTGATGTCGCTCAGATGAAGCTGACTAAGGGTGGGAAGTGCATTCCTAACCCCCAGCTTGTGTTCACCTGTCCTTGCGTTTATTAGTATAGCTTTAATCTGTGCTTTTTATGGGACCCTTAAAGCTTCATATCCCCTGAGGTTTAGCTTAGTTTTAATTTGTGCATCTATTTCATTATGTGCTTGCCCAGTCAGAGGAGTGCGTCAGGGACCTCAGAGGGCTGGTGACAGGTGACCCTTTTGACAAACGAACTTTGTGAGGGTGCAGACAGTCCCTGCTTTTACTAGCACTGTTAGTATTTCATGGTAGTATAATTAGTATAGTGTAACACAGTGTAAAGTAATTAGTGTAACACAGTGTAAAGTAATTACACATAATATGTTTAACTTGTTGGTATAATATTTACATTACTAAACGTAGCTGCTATTCTACTTTTTGGACAAAAATAAATCTAACTTCTAGGATTTTTCCCCCAGCCCAGGTGGAGCATCTTTTACACCTTCTGGGCTGCATACGCCCTGCTGGTAGACAGCTGTTTTTCTCACTTCAGCCTCAGGTAATTCTTTCCTTTGATTCTCAGAAGAACCCTGTGAATGCAGGTATAATTGATTGCACTCCCCATTTTTTTTTTAAATGAGTAAACTGAGACTTTCAAAGGTTAATACCAAGCAGTTCTTTTCAGTTAATATTTGCTTGGTGACAAGTACTCTAATTTAATTTTTACACTAGCCTTAGAAGACAGGGATAAGCCTTCACAGGGGAGCCCAGGAGATTGGGAGGAGATGAGGAACCACCCCGTCACCAGGTCAGAAATGGGCTGCCCTGAATTTCCTCTCAGTTTCCTGCCCAGGCTCAAGACAGGAACCTGAGGTTTCTTAGTGTCCCCCATGGTGGGGGCCAGCACAGAAGAGAGCTGGGAATGTACTTGAATGAGTTCAGTTTGTTTTTCTGCTTCAGAATGCATACATATGGTATCATTGTTTTGTTTTAGAGGAAGCTGTAAAATACTGTGATTTCATCTGGGAATGCTAGAAATATAACTTCAAAACTTGCTAATGTTACCATTGTATATCTTCCTAGCATCTTAATTTTTTATTGTTACTGTTTGGCTTTTGCATTAAAGATAGGCTCCTTGAGGGAAAAAAAGATATAAAGCAAAAAATGAAGTCGTCTTTCTGTTCCTCTCTACTTCCTCCTCTCCTACTCCAACTTGTAAATATCTTTCCTTATAAACATTTGCTGTACATTTTCTATTATAGAAAAATGTATTGATTTATTGAGTATATTTTTAAAAATTTTCAACAAAAATAGGATATGAGCATTACTATTTTGTAACTTTGTTCATGTAACAGTGTAAGTTTTGATCATCTGTTGCTCCATAACAGATCAGCTATGCAAGCTTAAAACCATCGTTTAGTTATTGCTTCTGGTTCTGTGAGTTGACTGGACTGCAGTCTTTTGAGGCTCAGCTGGGCTGGAATTTCAAGATGGCTCATTTGCTATTACAAGTTTTTTAAAAGTATTGCCTTGGTGAATTCTTGGACAAAATTTTAATATACTAATGATTTTAGAAAAAAAATTTTAAGCTATTTCTCTGATTCTGATGCTGCCAGAACTGGAGGGTCTAGCCCATCAAAATGCTCTCCATCGTTTATATCCATGCAGCAGGTAGATGATACCTTATTTTTCCTCTCTGTTTTCTGTATCTGAGGGAGGGTCCTGTAGAAGCCATGTTGCTCTGGAATTAGTGATCACTTCATTCTGATTGGGGCTTCCCTGGTGGCTCAGATGGTAAAAATCTGCCCGCAATGCAGGAGACCCAAGTTCTATCCCTGGGTTGGGACGATCTCCCCTGGAGGAGGAAATGGCAACCCACTCCAGTATTCTTGCCTGGGAAATCCCATGGACAGAGGAGCCTGGTGGACTGTAGCCAAAAGCCAGGGAAGTTTGGGGAATCCAAACTCAACCTTTAAACAGTATGGAAATGTTTAAACAGTATAGAAATGTTTCCCCAAAGATAAACAACACACCCTCTTCAACATGCCTTTCCGCTTCTTAAGAATAAATTGAGTGCGACCAGAACAAGAGGCAC